CATGTCAGGCTCTGTGCTGACAGCTCAGAGCCTGGAGCCTGCTTCGGATTCTGTGTCTCGCTCTGTCTCTGCCCTACCCCACTCACGCTCTGTCTCTCTCTCAAAAATAAATAAACCTAATTAAAAAAAAAAACAACTGGTACACCTATGCCATGGAATATGACTGTTATAGCATTAGCAAAACAACTATACAGACTAAAATAACATGGAAGACTCTTAAACGCATTACGCTAAATTTAAAACGCCAGACTCAAAAGGCTATGCACTTGTTGATTCCATTTACATGACACCGTGGAGAAGACAGAACCACAGTGATGAAGGACAGATCAGTTCTGGACTGATGGAACAGTATCCTGACTGTGGTGGTGGTTGCCACAAATAGAATATAACTCCATGGTAAAAATCATGGAAATGTATACCAAAAACATTTTTTAAAAATCATTAAACCGTAAAAAGCAAATGGGAGAAGGTATCTAAGAGAACCTTCACAAAGAGAAGTTTTGCACCAGGGCAAGCCTTCTGAACCACCCCACAGGCAAGGAGGATGCTGAGACCCTGCCCTCCTTTCTCACTAGGGCTAGCGGGGGGAGGGGACGTGAGGGGGTTGTTACAGTGGTCTCCCCAACGAGGCTGTTTCTCTTCTAGCAGGAAGGCCACAGAGTGGGCAGCGGTTTTAAGAAAGGCCCTCCACCCATGGGACCCCCAGGTCACACTGCTCAACCTGCTCCCCTTCCCCACGACCACCCGCTCCCATCCAGCTAATCACAAAACCCCTGCAATGTGACTCAGGACAGATGCGCTGACAAGGACACAACTGGAAAGCCATGGAGGACTGCAGGGGAGGAGATGATACTGTCCATCCCCATGAGATTGGTGCTCCAGACCCTTGCAGAAAGCAGCCTCCCCCTCCCCTGCCCCTACTCTGTAACACACACACACACACACACACACACACACACACACACACACACACTCGAGCGCGTACATGAAGACACACCATAGGTACTCATGCACATACACACCCGATCATAAATACAAGCACTCACTCACACAGACACAGTTGCAATCACAGGCACTGGCACATGGGCAGGTGCACATGCACACAAAAACACACACCCATCTTGCTTCCCTTGGGCTTTCACCTAAAATAACAAAGTGAGCACATTTCCTGGTAAACAGAGGAAGCCCAGACAGGGTTGTGCACTGCTACCCTGAGGAATTCCTGCTGCCTCTAGCTAGAGGTCCGTAGGTTGCCGTGTACCCCACCCATCTCCTCTGTGGCAAGAGATAGTCCCATGGGTGCCATCCATTCTCCAAACATCAGCTGAGTCTCCACCAGCTAGCAGATCTTACTGTTGGGTTCAAGAGCCCCAGGCTCATAATGTGTTCAGATCAGGTCAACTCCAGGTACGCCACGTCACCTCAGGTCCTCGTGACTCCAATCCTTTGTCTACTCTGAAATCCTCTGCCCATGGCCCTTTCCTAGGTCCATAGCTTTTTAACTCTGAAGGATGGGGTTCCATTGGGTATTGGGTCTCAGGCACCCGCTTGATTAAAATCACTAGGGACAATTTTTAAAAATACTAATGCCTGAGCCCCGACCCAGGCCAGTGGAATCAGATTCTCTGAGATGAGGCTGGCATCAAGATTTCTAGAGGCTTCCTAGGTGATGTGATATGCAGCCCAGAGACTGCGCAGCTTGGTCCTGCTCAAACCAGCACCAGCATGGCCACACTCCATTCACGTTGCTGAGCTCCTGCTATATGTGGTCCCTGGGTAAAAATCCCAGATATGGTGCCTGGCCCTGGGGCCCTATCTTGGAGAAGAGACAATAAATTCAACATCTATCGAAAAACCCCAGTACACGTGATCGGTCCTATTCCAGAGCCCTTCACAGGGCCATCATAGAACACACAAGGGCAGAGAGGAGACCGGAAGCACAGAGCAGGTGCATCCAGTCGGAGCCCTCAGAGGGGAGGGACAGGATGTGCAAGGAGACGCTGGGGGGCCTGCCCTGCCACTGTCTCATCTTATGGGACCTACTGCTGTCTCTCCGGGTTACCCGGAAAACAGGTGAGACCCTGGCAGTGCTTGGCTCTGTGGCCGCTGCAGAGGCAGAAAAGTGAGCTCTCTCAGCTCCGTTCCTGGGAGATCTGGTTCCTGTCCCTGCCTCACTGAGCCTTGTGAGAGGGAAAGGGAGCAAAAGGAATTGTCCACAGAGGCTGGTCTAAAGCCCTCTGAGGGCTCCGACTGCATGCACCTGCCCTGTGCTTCAGGCCCTCAGCTCTAAGCCTGATGTTTCATTTTGTTTTGTATTCTGCAAAGCGGGTGGAAGACCCATTGCTCTGTTGGTGGGTCCACTGTGGCCTGAGACGAGCTTCTGCTGCCTGGTGGCTCAGCGACTTTCTGCGGTGTGCCTGATCACTTCTGCACTGATACCGCTCAATGCAGGCCTGAACTGAGTTCTCCCTGGCTGGAGTCCCTTCCTGCACCCCAGGAGCTTCTCCGTGACCATGAGTGTGCCTTCCTGGTTCAGGAATTTACACACGAAATGCGTGGGGAAGGGAAAAGGTCTGGAACTCAAGGAGAGAAACTGAATTTTCTCCACTCTTTCCTGGCTGTGTGACCTCGAGTAAGTCACAATCTCCCTGGGTGAGGCCCTCCTCCCCAAAACGGGGATGACAGTGGCCCCCGCCTCACAGGGCTGCTCTGAGAATTAAGAGCCTGGAAGGTGCTTAGCAAAGAACCTGGCAGTCATCAGGCTTTCGGCAAGCACGTGCTTTCCTTCCGCCTTGGGTTACTGTCACTGCTGTGGATGGTATTGTTGGGGTGGCCGCCCCCGCTTGCCCACGGGCCACGCCCATCACAGGGGGAGGGGTCCCCGGCGGCCAGAGCCTGTCTGGTGGTTGCTGGCTCTGAATTCAGCAATTCCAGTTCCACCTTCCGAAGACTCAATTTCATCTGCATTCTTTTAATTTTAATCATCGGTTCTTACTGGTTAACATAAAAGTGAATCTAATCAAATAAATAAATCCAGGGAGGCTCCAACAAATATAAACGGCAAGGAGAGAAAAACGAAGCAGCAAGCCGCGTGTCCGTGTGGGAAAGAAAATGTAGCCCCAAATCTAAGGCCCGGCAGGCGCGGGGCGAGGCGGCTTCAGGGACCTCCGGACCCCGCTCTGCCTGTGCTGCAGCGCAAACGCCGCTCACAAAGTCCGCGCGCGTTTAAAAGTCGGCAGTGGTGGGAATGAGATTTCAGTTGGAAATTTGAATGTTGGGAGCTGGAGGGCGGGGACAGCCTCTAACCTAACGGGGTGACCGGGACACCCCCCCCCCGGGGACCCACCGAAGCCCAACGTCCCCTACATCCCGAGGAAACCTTCCTCCAGCCCACGAGTCCCCAGCGGACCGAGGTTGTCGCACGGAACCCACGGCGGGACCAGCCCGGGTCTTCCCAGGCGCCCGGCCCCGCGGTGCGTCTCAGGTGACAGACGGGGGGCGGGGGGGAACCCCGTGAACCGGCTCCAAGCCCCGCAAGCGGTAAGCCCAGGTGGTCCGGACTTGGCGTCGGGTCCCGGGCGAGCGGGGCTGGCGAGAGGCGGGAGGGCACTGACCTGGGAAGCCCGAGACGCGGGGCAGGCGAGCAGCAGCAGCGGCAGCAGCAGGAGCGCGCGGAGACAGCTGGGCACCATCTTGCCAGTGGGAACCGCTGGGCTGGGGAAGGGGGGACGGCGCCTCGGTCCGGCCCACGCCGCGGCCGCCCCGCGGGGTGCAGGGCGCCGCGCGGCCCCGGAGCGGCTCGCGCAGGGAGGGCGGCGGAAGCCCCGGAGCGCGGGCGGCGCCGTCTCGGGTCCAGGTGCGCCGCGCGCGGGCCACGAGCGTCCGCAGCCGCCCGCACGAGACAGCCCCGGCGAGGCGGGGAGGCGCCAGCCCCGGGGCCGAGGCCGAGGAGGAGGGGCTGCCCGGCCAGGAATGCGCCTGGGAGCGCGCCCAACCCGCGCGGCTCCCCGAGGAGGCCGGGCGCGACGCCGAGGACGAGCGCGGGCATCCGGAGGGCCTCGCGGGCAAGGGCGGCCGAGGCCGCGCGGCCGGTGTGTCCCGCACGCGCGCCGGGTCGTGCGTCCCCCACCCGTCCCGGGCGGAGCCCTCCTGATCGTCCCCTTGTCGCGCTGGGGAGACTGAGGCGCGCGGCGGCGGCGTGGCGCTCCCCATCCAGCTCTGCCCCGCTTCGCAGCCCACTCACTGCGACCCTCCTCCACCTCATTCGGAGAACGGGACCAGCACGGCCGGGAGATGGGCTTCATAAACTTGGACTAAGTTCTCCATCTGAGTAGAGTGTCCTTCGAAATCATGCTAGTGGGGAACAAGAACACACATGAACGGTGACCAAGAATCTACAGTCCTCCTAACTGATAGTCCTCCCCACCCCCGACAGAAGGAGAAACTCCTTTAAACGGAGGCCGGGTTATCAGAACATCGGATCCCTCGCGGAAGTCGGTGGGCAATCCCCCTGGGAAGGGCAGACATTAGTGGTCTGAAGTCCCCTGCATCCAGGGGCTGTGGGAGGAACCAGATGGCCTCAGCCCCAGGCTCCTGGAAAACATTATTTAAGTTCTTGCTGGAAGAATGCTTTCAGAAGGCAACACTGCAGATGTCATGGTGCACACCAAGTCTGGCCAAGCCTCAAATCTATTTTTCCTTTCCGCATTTCACTTAGCAGAGCCCACTGACAGCCCGAGGAATGGAGCTAAGAAGACTGCACAGTCTGGGAGCAAGAGCTGTGTCCCACTGGAAGGTGCAAAGGAGAGTTGGAGTCCCCTGGGAAGCGAGGGCATGGTGCAGGCTGGCCACCTGAGCATCCCTTACCCAGGAAATCCTACTGGGCGTCTCCCTCCACCTTCCTGCGGCAGGAAGTAGAGCAGGGCCTGTGTGATCTTATTTTGCATTCCTGGTGAAATCTTGGAGAGCAAGGCAACAGATTGCTTCTCCCTGTCCAGGTAGAAGGGACCAGGCAGCAGCAGCCCAATCCCAGGAAGCCTATGGAAATTGTGGTTGTCTGCCCAGGTCTCTCAGGTGTTTGCTATTGACACCACACGCGATGCCAAAGCCTGGTTCCCCACCCCCTCCATCCCACACCCTGGCCTCCTTCACTTACCCCTCGGTCCCCGCTAATGAAAGATTTGGTTCTGGCCGCTGTGGCCATGTTTAGTATGTGTTTTATCCCACCTTGTGTTGACATGGTGACCTCCCCTGGCAGGCCAGGATTTGTCAGCCTTCTTCTGGCTGTGCAGTGGGAACCAGACGTCGGCAGAGGTAAGCAAGCGTTCTTTTTTCTTCTCTTGCCTGCTCCGTGGATTCATAAAGCCAAATCTGGACATGGTTGAGTGACTTGCCCAAGGTATGTAGTCTCCAGGCTGCTCCCAGAGCGGTGCTGCTTCCCAGCACAGACTGCCTTCCACATTTTCACTTAAATACAAGAGCATGGGATTTCAGGAATTTTAGTTATGGTAACAGAGTTTTTCTCTGTTTTGTTTTTCTTTTCTTTTTTCCCCCCCCAAGCATTTCTAAATTTTAACAGGGGTTCCCCCCCCCCCCCCCCCCCCATCTACTCATTTCTGTTTGTTGCCCTTATCCTATGGCTACCTTCCATTTAGTGCTCTGGTGGCTGGTGTGAATTAACCTTTTAAGGCCCCAGTGCACCAGCAGTACTGCTCCTTCTCTGTCCCCAACTGCCCTTGATCCACAGTGATCAAGGCAGACCTCCCCCCACCCAAGCCCAGAACCTATCAGGGCTGTTTAAAAGCAGACTGAAAATAAGCCAAGTGTCCTATACTTAAGGCTACAAAAACCAACTCTTGACTTGAGCAAAATGAGTTTATCCTCTATATTACCTCTTCTCTTTCCTCTATATTTAGTTTTCAAGAGAATATTCCAGAATATCATGGATTGGGGGGGGGTGTCTACACATCTAAAGAAAATATTTGTAAAGCTTTTTTTAAGTTTATTTATTTTTTGAGAGAGAGAGAGAGAGAGCACAAGCCGGGGAGGGACAGAGAGGGTGACAGAGGATCCAAAGAAGGCTCCATGCTGACAGCAACAAGCCCGATGCGAGACTCGAGCTCATGAACTGAGAGATAATGACCTGAGCTAAAGATGGATGCTTAACTGACTGAGCTACCCAGGCGCCCCAATATTTGTAAAGTTTTTTGACAATCAATTGCCATCTCCTGGGACCAGTGCTTTTGCTGATAAACTTGTGTTCCCTGCAGGGAATGCAAAACAAGACAGGAAATTCTGCTATCGAAGTCTGTTTCACACCCAGTCAAAGCAGCACCCGGTCTGAAACAGTCATCCCAAAGCTGTCCTGTAGGGTTCTCTGGGTCCCTCGTGGTGCCCCACACCATGTTGCTTGCCCTGTGGGGTTTCATATGTTTATTTTGGCTGTTGGCTTGTTTGGCGCTGTTTCTCTTCCTTTCCCACCTCCACCCCACATCTGTGATTCTAAATGTCATCAGCTCCCACTAAATACCTACAAAAGGTCTTAGGAACAAAACCCAGCATGTTAGCCTGACCCAGGATAACAGGGTAGGACAGGGGTGGGGGGTGATCTAGAAGAGGCGCAGTGATGATCACATTCACTCTACATAGATAATTATTTGAGTGCCAATTCAGGGCACAGCCCTGTGTGAGGCACTACATCATGCTTTCACATACATCAAGGAAGTGAGCCAAAAGTTTGTTCTTTGAAACGATAATATGGAAAGGGGTTACAAACAAAAAATAAATTGACATTGTCTTTTGTAGTTACCTACATAATTAACTTTACTGGTATTATTTATTGCTTCATGTGGATTCAAGTTACTGTTTAGTATTTTTTCATTTCACCCTGAAGGACTCCCTGTAGTATTTCTTGTAGGGCAATACTGTTAGCAAGTAATTCTGGTTTTGTTTATCTGAGAGTGTCGTTATTTTTCCTTCATTTTTGATGATTGGTTTGCCAGGATACTGAATACTTGGTTGACAGGTTTTTTCCTTTCAGTACTTTGGATATGTCATCCCATTGCCTTCTAGCCCTCATGTTTTCTGATGAAAAATCAGTTTTTAATCTTACTGAGTATCTCCCGTATGTGATGAGTCACTTCTCCCTTATTGCTTTCAAAATTCTTTATCTTTTGACGATTTGGTTATGATGTATTTCAGCATAGATCTGTATGAGTGCATACCACTTGGAGTTTATTGATCTTTCTGATGGTGTAGATTAATGCTTTTCATCAAATTTGGGAGTTTTTAGCTGTCGTTTCTTCCAATATTCCTTCTGCCTCTTTCTTACTCTCCTCTCTTACAGATTTTCCTGTTACACATTACTGATATGTTTGATCCACAGATCTCTGAAGCTCTGTTCATTTTTCTTTTTATTTCTCAGACTGAATAATCTCAGTTGACCTATATTCAAGTTCACTGATCCTTTATTCTGTCTGCTTAAAACTGCTATTGAGCTTCTCTAATAATAATTTTTCAGTTCAGTTATTGTATTTTTCTTTTTTTAATTTTTGTTCAATGTTTTTATTTTTGAGAGAGAGAGAGAGACAGAGCACAAGTGGGAGAGAGGCAGAGGGAGAGGGAGACACAGGCTTCAGGCTCTTAGCTGTTATCACAGAGCAATGTAGGGCTTGAACTCACAAACTGCAAGATCATGGCCTGAGCTGAAGTGGGTGCTTAACCAACTGAGCCACCCAGGCGCCCCTCACATTTCGTTAAAAACAATTTTTTTTAATGTCTTATTTATTTTTGAGAGAGAGACAGCATGAGAAGGGGAGGGTGAGAAAGAGAGGGAGACACAGAATCTGAAACAGGCTCCAGGCTCTGAGCTAGCTGTTAGCACAGAGCCCGACGCGGGGCTCAAACCCACAAACTGTAAGATCATGACCTGAGCTGAAGTTGGATGCTTAACTGACTGAGCCACCCAGGCGCCCTGCCCCTGTACATTTCAAGAGAAGAGTATTTCTATTTTCTTTCTATTTGGCTTATTTTTATTTATTTATTTATTTTTACAAATAGTTTATTGTCAAATTAGTTTCCACATAACACTCAGTGCTCATCCCCACAAGTGTCCTCCTCCATGCCCATCCCCCCTCCCCTCCAACATCCATCAGTCCTCAGTTTTTGTCAGCATTCAAGAGTCTCTCATGGTTTGCCTCTCTCCCTTTCCCCCACCATTTCCCCCCTTCTTCTCCCCCTTGTTCGTCAGTTAAGTTCCTCCTAGTCCTCCTATACGTGCAAACGTATGATATTTGTCCTTCTCTGCCTGACTTATTTCACTCAGCATAACACCCTCAAGGTCCATCCATGTTGCTACACATGGCCAGATTTCATTGTTTCTCATTGCCGTGTAGTATTCCATGGTATAGATAAACCCCATCTTCTTGATCCATTCGTCCGTTGATGGACACTTAGGCTCTTTCCATGTTTTAGCTATTGTGGAGAGTGCTGCTATGAACATTGGGGTACATGTGCTCCTATGCCTCAGCATCTCTGTATCCCTTGGGCAAATTCCTAGCAGTGCTATTGCTGGGTCATAGGGGGGTTCTATTGTTAGTTTCCTGAGGAACCTCCACACTGTTTTCCAGAGGGGCTGTACCAGTTTACATTCCCACCAACAGTGTAGGAGGGTGCCCGTTTCTCCACATCCTCTATTTGGCTTATTTTTAAATAATTGTTATTTCTTTACTGATATTCTCTATTTGGTGAGATATTATTCTCATACTTTATTTAGTTCTTTTGACATGGTTCCTTTAGGTCATTGAAGATATTTAAAATAGCTGATTTAAAGTTCTTGTCTACCAAGTACAACATCTGGTCCTTCTCAAGAATGTTTTTTTTAATTTATTTTAAAATTTTTAATGTTTATTTTTGAGAGAGACAGAGACAGAGTGTGAGCAGGGGGAGGGGCAGAGAGAAGGGGAGACATAGGATCCAAAGTAGCCTCCAGGCTCTGAGCTGTCAGCACAGAGCCCAACATAGGACTTGAACCCACAAACTGTGAGATCATGACCTGAGCCAAAGTCAGAGGCTTAACCAACTGAACCACCCAGGTACCCCTCAAGAACATTTTATATTGATTGCTTTTTTCCCCCTTATTTCTTTGCTTGTGTCGTAATTTTTTTTTTGGTGAAAGCTGGACATTTTAAGTAATGTGATAACTCTGGAAATCAGATTTTATCCTCTCCTTAGAGATTGTTGTTGCTGCTTGTTTTAATGTTTGCTTGTTTAGTGACTTCTCTTGAACTAATTCTGTAACATTTGTAGTTTTTGTGATACAGGGCCACTAAAGTCTCTCAGGCATCTGGCGGCCAGCTAATTAGTGGACATAATTTTCTTTAAATTCTTGGAACCAGTAAATCTCCCAGTATTTGTCAAGGTTCTTGTATGTATGGTGAGGTACATCTTCAACACCCGTCCAGCCAATTTACCACTCTGCCTTAGCCTTCACTTCCTGCTTGCAGTCTTTGCTGAGCAAAGCCCTACATACGCACATGGCCTTGAAGATTGGAAATACAGAAATACATTGGAGCTTTTCTCTTTAGTTTTACTGTTGAGGCTTTCAGGTTGGTCTGTTATTTGCTTCATTGTTATTTACTGCCTGGGGCAGCTATATTAAAACATTTGACTGCAAATACTTTTTAACAACATTCCCAAGGAAGAGGCTTTTAACACTGGGCAAACTCTGGCCCAGGTAAAAAAAGGAAAGCCTTTCTAGTGGTGAATTCCAAGGAACCACTAGCCCAATCAAAGGATAATCTCAATTTTTGGAAATGAGATTTTGAAAGGCCTCCAGCTCCATCTGTTCCCTAGAGTACTAGGAATGTGGGCCCTGAATTTCAAAGGCAACTGCTGGGGCGCCTGGGTGGCTTAGTCGGTTAAGCATCCGACTTTCGCTTAGGTCATGATCTCTCGGTTCGTGGGTTCGGGCCCTGCATCGGGCTCTGTGGTGACTGCCAGCTTAGAGCCTGGAGCCTGTTTCAGTCTGTGACTCCCTCTCTCTCTGACCCTCCCCTGCTCATGCTGTCTCTCTCTCTCCTAGAAATAAATAAAACATTAAAAAAAAAAAATCAAAGGCAACTGCTGAGCTGGAAACAGAGTAGGAGAGTGGGGCAGATGAAAGGCAACCTTGTGTTCTTACTGAGATCCAGGCATTATTCTGTAGTAAACGCTCTTTAGGTTGCTGCAAGACTGGTTAATATCCAGAGTCTTGAAAGTTCATTTTGAAAGTTTTTTTTTTTTTTTTACAAGCTTTTCATTGCTTTTATAAAGGG